GAATAAAGCATTTGGGCAGCTGGATTTGTCTGGGAATCCTTCTCCCATCTCCCTACCCCCAGCACCAGCACTAAGAAGCTCACCTCTGGCCATAATCTGTTAGAGATCACAAAAGAAAATGGTTGCTTTTCATCACTTCATCCTACCACCAGTTACCGGTTCCCAACCCTCTTCTCCTCTTCCCACAACCAATCAGCTGAGCTCCAAAGCCGAGCACACGGAATGGTGGGAATCTTGCTGGACTTTGGGCTCTTTAATCAGCTTCAAGTTTTTGCTTCACTGTATTACTGCCGTAATTGTCTGCCCAGATTCCCATAAAGAAGGATTAGAAGCCAAGAGTCAGTAAAGAAGGAGTCAGAAGGAGCCTGTTAACCACTGGCATGGTTTGGGAACTATTGGCCAAGTCCAGGTCTGGGTGGGACCAGAACCCTAGACTCCTAAGGCAGGGCTTCCTCCCACAGACACTAAGATGTTATTATTTGTCTCCTTACCCTCCACCAAGAAATGAACTTACAATAATAGATTTTAGCTTACTCCTGGGACAGGAGCAGGAAATGACTTCCCCTTCCCCCAACCAGAAAAAGAAAGACTACTGACAAGGGAAACCACTCTTCTGCAAGTGGCCACCTGCCCCGAAGGGCCCCTTCCCTCCTCTGCTAGATCCAGCACATCTGTGCTCCCTCCCCTGTGCCCTTGCTTCCTTCACTGACTGGGGCCTGTCCTTGGAAAGAACAATCGTGATCACAGCTGAACTGTGGAGTCTCTTAAGCCCAGCCACATGTCCCGGATACATTCCCCAGCCTTGTCAGCTGTCCGGATCTGCAGGGTGGCCCCAGACCCCTGAGAGCCAAGAATACCCTCCCTCTTACATCATGCAACACCCCACACCTCCTGTGCAGGAAGGGGGCACCCTTAAAACCAGGCCCTCCTCCTAGGAGCTCAATAATAACAATGAGCATGGCCCTAGTCCCGGCTGCTCACTAGCAGTTCTGCTGGCCCCCTGTCCCCTTGGGAGGAGTTTATTTTCTCTACTGTGCAGATGGGGAAACTAAGGCCATGCTTAGCAGGTTTGCCTAGTCACTCATCTGCTCTGTCCAGGCCCCTGGCTGGGTCTGGAAGGGGCAACACAGCTTTCCGAAAGCTGTTCATTCACCTTCCCCTGGCTCTTTTGAAAGAGCAAAAATATATTCTAATGAGTTACTGTTTCTCCTCTCAGGGAGACAAGGTTGGCCATGAAATAGAACCTTCTCCACTCTGGCCATTTCCCTTCCTTAAAAACTGTCATGTCTACATACAAAACCCCAAATTTTCAACTTTATCTCCAAATTCAGAGGCCTGGGCAAGAATCCTTAGCCAGGTTGTCATCACAAGGGAACTGCCACCTAAGTAGAGGCCAGATGACAAACACTCTGGATTTAGAACCAAATGTTACACCATGATTCTCCAAGAAACACTGGACTTTTCTGAATAAAGAGGGAGGGCTCCTTCCTAGGCCTCCTTGGCACCAACGCCCAGGCCCTCATTAACAGGATAGCCCAAGGACAGAACAACACCGTGGGGGCCCAAATCTGGGAGCTGTAAGATGTCACACCATGAGACGTTCAGCCCTGAAAACTGGAATCCCCACATATGGTACCACAATATTAAATCCCAGAGCAACACAGCTCAAAGGTCACTTCTGGAAGTATTAATGAGTTTTATTCCTCTTAATTTTTAAATCACTGATTTTCAAATTTGGCACTGAAAGACTGCTTTCATTTATTATCCACGAAAGTCAGCCAAAGCTCTGGGCACAGGTTTACCAAAGTTGGGGCTGGGGTCATGGGTGGGTGTGAACTGGGCAGGACAGATTTCCAAAGAGCCACATCTCTCCATCAATTCTGGGAGGATGCAAATAAAAATGACATGTGAGACTGGGCGCGGTGGCTCACGCCTGTAATCCCAGCACTTTGAGAGGCCGAGGTCGGCAGATCACGAGGTCAGGAGTTTGAGACCAGCCTGGCCAACATGGTGAAATCTTATCTCTACTAAAAATACAAAAATTAGCTGGGTGTGGTGGTGCACACCTTTGATTCCAGCTACTGAGGCAGGAGAATTGTTTGAACCTAGGAGGCGGAGGTTGCATTGAGCCAAGATCGCGCGACAGCCCTCCAGCCTGGGTGACAGAGCAAGACTCTGTCTTAAAATAAATAAATAAATAATAATAAATAAAAATAAATGAAAATGACACCCGTAAGCTCCAAATATCCACCTGTCCACAGACTCTGCCCTGCTATGTGTTCTGTCTCCTCCCACCAGCCCCAACTAAAGCTTTAGTGAGACGTGGTCATTTCAGAGGGTGATCTGAAAAAGGTCGTGGGTCTGGGCAGGAGGGCTAAGGGCAAGAGGGCATTTACACCCCACCAAAAGGGAGTGACTCCCGATAACCAACAGATGCCTTTCAAGTCTCCTCACCGTAGCTGACCAGTATTTGTCCATTGAGATTTCAGAAATCTGCTACTAAAATCCCCACCCTACACCCGTAACTGGCCACGGGGCTTGGTTGGTAAGTGTGTGTGCTGTTCACCACATTAGGATTTGCTGGAGCCTGGCGGCACGTGAGGATCCTCCCAAGGGATGGGAAAGAGGAAATGTGATTTCACACTGGACATCTCCACTAGTTCTTTCCCACCCTTCTAGGAGACAGAGAGGGAGAGATAAAGAGAAATCTTTAACCGCAGCCCTGCCTCTCCTAGTCCTCCTGACACCCGCACTAAAAAAAAAAAAAAAAAAAAAAAAGCTGAAAATTTCAGAGATGTTTATGCTCCATTTGTGTGAAGATCTGGAGAACTCTAAACATTGTGAAATCTACCAATGCAATATTGGGTAGGGCCTCAGGCCAGATTGAGCTCATTAAGAGATTGATAAACCCACAGTTCCCAACTTCTCTGAGCCTTGTACCTTCCGGTTTCGAATCCCCAGAGGCTTGTCAGAGAGGCTAGTGCCTCGGTCAGCTACAGAGACAGACAAGTGCTTGCTCCTGCCCCTCTGCAAGTTCTTTGGCCTCCAGTGTGTCTGGCCTCTCCCAAAACTGGAGAGAATCACGCCACTGATTCGGAGGCAGGAAAGAGGGGGCTGCCACTAGGTTTGGTCACCCCACTGTACACTCTTCTTTCCAGCACTAACCGCACTGGGGGGTACCAAAGCCTTGCTGCGCCAGAAGGCGGCCTCCTGCCCTCACAGAGGCCTTGGCAATATGGATGCCCCTCCAGCAGCTGGTGAAAGAGGCAGCCAGCAGCTCCCTGCTCTGCCTACCATCTAGCCCTTCCAGCCCATTTCGCCTCTCTTGTCCATCCTTCAGTCCTATAAGCCATGCAACCATTTTCCGTCTCCCTTGCCTCTTCTGCCCACAACCCCCTGCCCCCAATCAAGGAGAATTGAGAAACCGTCTTCTTGCACAAGAGTAGCTACTGTCTAAACGCTTTTTGATCGTCTGCATGGAGGGGGAACTGGGCACAGCCTTGGACCCAGTGATGGAGCCACGCTCCAGCTGCCCTGGCTAGCCAAACCCGCCCTCACCCTGCTCACTGTCCCTGGGGTCTTAGCGATTCAGAATTTTTCAGAACGTACCGTCTCTATTCTCTTCTCTGTGATGTCAAGCCTGGTACCACCAAAAAGGAAGGAGGGAAAGTAGGAGCCTTATCTCTCCTACGTTCGCAACCTCTTCCTCCAGCTCCCACACGCCTGGCGTTATGTAAACGCACCTTCAGCCCCCACCACAGCCCTAGCGCGGCCTGGGGGCTCCGGGGCCTGGCACGGCTCGGTGCCCGGGGAGAGGGAGGTACAGGGTGGCCGAGGAGCCTCAGGCCCTACAGAGGCCAGGCAAGAAAAAGGCAACTGCAAGGCAGTTGCATAGCATAAAATGCGGCAGCGGAGCAAAGGTCAGACGGCGAGGAACCGCCTCACCAAGGAGAGGGAGCAGAAATGCCCAGTCCTGAGCCAGTCCCTCGCTGACCATCGAGGGAGAGGCAGAAGGGGAGGGAATTCAGTCCGTCACCGCTCCGAAGAGAAAGGAAAAAATCTACGTCGAGCATAGGCCGCTACGGCGGGTTGGGAGATACACGGCAAAGCTGGCACCGTGGGCACGGAGCTGGGAGTTGGGCGAGCCGCCCAGAGCGAGGGCGCCCCCCGACCCAAACGGTGGCTCCTGACCAAGCCCAGAGCCGCCCGTTCCAGCGTTCGAGGCGGATGGTGGCAGGAGAAGGAAAGAGGCCAGGCCAGAGGCAAACTCCCGGGACACGCACGGGGCTTCCCGAGTCGCAGAGGGCGGGGAAGCCGGGCTTGGCAATGCCCAGGGGTCGGAAACGGCGGTGCCAGGCTGTGAACACCCCCGGCGCCGTGCCGGCCGGGCCGAGGGCGTCAGGGAGCTGCGGCGCACCGCAGCGACTCAAGGAGGCGCAGGCTGAGGGAAGGAACATTGAGGCGCGCCTAGAAATAGCGCACCATTTGCCCCAGCCCAAGGGGGGAGTCGCGTCGCCGCTCAGAGCGGGGCAGTTTCAGATCCCAAAACCGGCCATGGACTTACTCTGAGGAGCTGCAGGGTCACAAGCATCGCCCCACGTCTGTCTAAATCCTGGAGCCAGAGCAGGCAACCGCCGCTGTACTCGCAGACGCCGGCCGGAGGAACCGGCAAGGCTCCCTGTGCTCCACAGCGCCAACTCCGCGCTGTCAGCTCAGCTCGCTACCTCCGCGGCGATGTTGCAACCACTGCCTGGGAAAATGGCTTTTTTATGAATGGGAGGGAAGGGAGCGCCAGTGCGCACGCGCGCCGTTCGCGATTCTATGAATGGGTGGGCACAAGAGATCGCGAGCGCGCATGCGCTGCGCTCCATTTTTTTATGAATGGGGGGCGGGAAAAGATCTTAACCCGTGATTGCTGGGACTGGCTCAAGCTCCAGCAGGAGCCGTCGTTCTTTTACAAAGAGGGGTGGAGGTTCCAGTGGAGGTTGTTATTGCCTTTTTTTTTTTTTTTTTTTTTTAATGAATGGAGGGCGGCGGCGACTGCTGCAGCTGGGCCAGCTGCGCGGGCTGCACCCCCTCCCAGCCTGCGAGAGGAGGTAAAGGCCACCTTCACACCACTGCGGGCCTGGGCAGGAACCGTCAGTGTCGCTGGGGGGCGGGGGGCGCTGCGGCCTCCGGATCCCGGGATGAGAGCAGGGTGGGGGAGGACATACTTAGATCTGGGGATCTCTGCCTCCCGCAAGCAGTCAAAAGAGAGGGCTGGAGGACCCCTACTGGGGGCCTTCTCTTGCTCTAGACCAGAGACGCCAGGCGGGAGGGATCTTGAAGCTGCGTTTACCAAATATTAAGAAAATGTCCATCATCCGTATCAAAGGGTGGGGTGGGGATTGGTGAGTGAATCTGATTCCTTTTCCTGAGGCTGAATCTCTCGTGAGTGCTGGCCGCCCCTCCCCCCATTTCTTGGGTGTAGACAGTGACTGGGCCCAGGCCTCTTCCGGCTCCAGTAGCCCCCGGGGCGATTCTGGCAATTCAGCCAGAGGAAGCCTGGCCCTCGCCTCCCAGCGTTCCCCCCGCCCCAGTGCAATGTCCGCAGTGCCCGGGCGTCTGCCCGCCCTCTGCCGCCCTAGCTAGGTGTCCTCTCTCTGTCCCAGTCGGTTTCCTAGCCCTCACAGGACGCTGGCCTGAGGAGCCTCGGTCCACCGAAGGCCCACGGCCCTTTGCTGTTGTAGGCGCCTTTCCCCAATATCCCCCACCTCTCGCCAGCCTCCCCTCCGGGGAAGTGGGAGCGGCCGAGAACTGGCCAGGTGGATGGGTGGAGCCGGCCGCGCCGAGGATGCTGCCGGGGTGGCCTCAGGATTAAATAACAACGGGGCTCTTGAGCCGCAGAGGAAATGGAAATGGCTGGGGATCCTTTCTTTGCTGTTAATGATGGTGGCGTTGGGGGGCGGGGGTGAGGATCTGCTGAAGCCGGTGAAAAGACAAGACCCCGCCATTAGGCCTGACTCCAGGAAGGCGGAGAGCCCTCGCGGCAGGCCTTGCTCCTCCCTGGAACGGAGGAGCCTGTAGCCTCCGGGAAGTCCGGGGCAGGGGGTGGCTTTGATGCGTAGATAAGAGCAGAGGCTTGGCCCTGAGTCCCTTGTAACGTCTGTCTTGCCGCTGTTCTGGCCTCACGGGGAGATTGTGTGGCAGTCTTTTTCTTCCTACGCCACTATAGGATTGTGCTTGGCTGTTGTCAGAGGAACCAATGAAAGGCTCCCAGCCTAGGGCTGAAGTCTGGCCTAGGGCTGGGACTGGGACTGGGACTGTAGACAGGCAGCCCAAGGTCACCGAGTCCTAGTCTAAAATGTCTTCTCACCGTTCGGACTCACCTCTCCGTGTACTTACCCAGCTCCTGAGGGCAGAGCAGACTCCCCTAGGGAACCTCAGCCTTCCTTTCAGGGGCGAGACTTCTCTCTAAGAGCAAGAGAACTCTTGGCCAGAACAATGGGTGCAGCTGTCCAGGACTTCCCTGTAAGGGTGTTGAAGTTCAGTTTCGCTCTCTCTGTCAGCTGTAGAAACTGAGGCCAAACTGCACCGGGAAGAGCTAGTAAATTGTAGCACAGATTTTCTAGATCTTTGCAACCTGGCTCTACTTTGCTACCAACCCTTCTCAGCATCACAGACCTAAAATCCTGTTTCTTGCATGTCAGTTAAGCATTTCAAACAATGAAAGTTGAAGCAGTAATTTTCCAGCTGGTGCTCACCCATGGCCCTTGCTGAAACAATTAGAAGGATGGGAATAGATAAATCTTAAATCTATGGCAGAAGAGGAGGATTGGAGGAGTGGGGGGGAGGGGGTTTGCTGTCCTGTTTTTCTTTATTAGAGAAACTCAAGAGACAGACAGGATTACATTTCATAGTCTTTCTCAGCTTCCCTGAAAGAGAATTCAAGGAGACCCCAGTCTGTGTTGGGGAGAAGGAGGAGCTCCCAGTCTTGAGCTGGGAGGGGCCTCTGATGCTTATTTAAGTACAGCGAGATTCAGAATGTCTAGGAGGGCTCTGGAGGTCATATTCTGGTTGTGCTTGGAACATAAGCTGAGGAATGGTTTGGAGCAGCAGTTATGAAAAATTCATTCATTCATTCATACATTCATTCCTTGATCGATTCTGTAGTGGGGCCTGCCCTGACTCCTGAGACTCAGTGGTGAGGGACAGACAGCCCTCCCTGCCCTTGCGAAGCGCACAGTGTTTTGAAAAGACAGACTGCAACATGAGGTTATAAGTGCTAGGAGGGAAATGAGCTTTCTCTGGGGTATGTTGCTTGCCGGGGAGGTGGGGGATGGTGGAAGGAGCTGATTCTGATTTGGTCATCAGGGAATGCCTCTGAGAGGGCGGCTTCTAGTTGTGAGTTGAGACCTGAAGACTGAGAAGTGAATCTGAGGGAGGACTGGAGAAACATCTCAGGCAGAGGGAGCATGGGTGGAGGCCATGTGTGGGAAAAGCCTGGCATATTGGCGGCACTGACAGAAGGCCTCTGTGGCCACAGCTTTATGAGCAAGTTTGAAGTGAGCCTGGTGAGGAATTCAGATGTCATCCTATTAAGGATTTTAAGCAAGGTCTGACACATTCTGATTTGTGTTTTAAACCTCTCCAGCAGCCCTGGGGCCACAATTTAGGGGGTGAGGGGACAGAATGAAAGGTGGTTGGGGAATGCAAAGCATTTGCTCCATTGCAGGGTGAAGACATATTCCTTCTTTAGGGTTGGGTGGCCGGTAGGCCTGTGCTGGATTTATTTTTCTATTTCATCTGATTCTGTTCATTCCAAAGCTACTCTATGTCCTCCCCAGGTATAACTTTTCTGCTAGAGGCACATCCTAACAACTTTGCGTTCCTGCCAGGGCTAATGACAATCTTTTATCCTGACTCCAATAAAAACATCCTCACTCCCGTCAGATTGTGGCCAGGGGAGTAGAGTAGGTCCAGTTCTGAGCTTTGGTCTTTTATTAATCTCCTAGCCTTGCTAGGACCTGGAAGATGAGTTAGTGTGATTGAGGAGAGGCAGGAATTCCAATTCAATGACAGTCACTTCTGGAGCACTTACTGTGTGCCAGTCCTACGTGCAGCATGTTTTCATATGTAAAATTTTTTCAAAAAGCTGGGTCTTGATTTTGTCACCTCTCTTTTGCAGAGCAGAAGTTCAAGCCTCCATTTTAAAATTTTATTCCACAAAAAATTGTTATTTTTTTGTGTGTTATTTTTGTGACACACTTCTCGTGTCAGGCATAGTGCCAGCTGTTAACAGTTATAGTGAGAAAAGGGACAGATACAAATTTTGCTCTTATAGGGCTTACAGTCAGTGGTGATGCCACAGGGAGGGCATGGAGAGATGAGGATGGCATGTGCTTTCTTCTTGCGATCTCCATCAGAACCCCCATTCATTTGTGTGTGTTCAATTGACATTTCTCAACCTTAGTAAGTGTTAAGCAATGGAAGCAAAGGCCCCCCTACCCAAACAGATTATCTTCTTCCACCTATGTAGAAATTCTGGACTGCTACCATTTATAGTCAAGTTTGGGAGATAGACATTAAACAAATAATTGATCAAAGAATCACTTAATTACAGTTAACATCAGCAGTGCATACAAAGTACAGAGAGCAAAGGAGGGGGGCACAGCCTGAGGCCCTCAAGAAAGTTCCCCAGAGCTCAGATCTGTAGAATACAGACTCAGCCAGACTAAGCTCAGTGGTAGAAGGCCCAGAACCAGGAAAGAGCCTTGAGGACCCTAGTCTTTTGAGGAAGAGAGGATGTGTCAGAACAAGAGGTTAGAACTCTGTCCTGGCACTACCTCCTAAGCTTTCTGGTTCAGCATTTCAGCTGTTTCAGCTCTGGGGCTGAACAGCTTGAAAGACAGATGGACAGGCACTGCCCACAGATTGCTAGGGTTAAATCCTGCCCTTACATGCTCCATAGTCTCAAGTTATTCAGACTTTATGTGCCTCAGTTTCCCCATCTATAATATGAAAACTGATAGTAGTACTTACCACAAAGAGCGGAGCTTGAATGCGGTATTGAACATAAGGCACTTAGAACAGTGCCTGAGCCAGGCATGATAGCTCATGCCTGTAATCCCAGTGCTTTGGGTGGCAGGAGGATCACCTGAGCCAAGGAGTTCAAGACCAGCCTGGGCAGCTTAAGGAGACCCCCCAACTCTACAGAAAAAAAAAGCAAAAACAAAGCTGAGTGTAGTGGTACATGCCTGTGGTCCCAGCTACTCAGGAGGCTAAGGTGGGAGGATAGCTTGAGCCAGGGATATTGGGGCTGCAGTAAGCCGTGATTGAACTAATACATATTAGATGATTATTCAACATATACAGTTGTTCTGATGTAAATAATTAGAATTTCAAGAGAAGCTCATTTACCTGGGTGCATCAAGAACTCAGAGAAAAGCAATCTAAAAAAAATTTTTAAAGTCTTTACTAACAAAGTTAAAACAATTATACTGCAGTTGTCATCAATATTTTAACTAGAACAGTTTTTGCAGGACAAAAGCATTTTGAGGTTGGGCACGATGGCTCATGCCTGTAATCCCAACACACTGGGAGGCTGAGGCTGGCAGATTGCTTGAGTCCAGGAGTCCAAGAACAGCCTGGAACAGGCTGAAACTCTGTCTCTGCTAAAAATACAAAAAGTTAGTCAGGCATGGTGGCGCATGCCTGTAGTCCCAGGTACTTGGGAGGTGGAGGTGGGAGAATCACCTGAGCGTGGGAAGTCGAGGCTGCAGTGAGCCAAGATGGCACCACTGCACTCCAGCCTGGGTGACAGAGTGAGATCCTGTCTCAAAAAAAAAGAAAAAAAGTGTTTTTAATTGTGTGGTTGGCTACCTTAAATAGTTGACCAAAGGGTTGATTTTAACCAGGACCAATATATGTTTGAAGAGTTTCAGTGGTAGCAGGTAGTGTGATATAATGCTGAATGTGTATGCTGTTGGTTCTCTTGAATCTCTATAAGGGGGGGACATGTTAAACACTTGGTGACTTGGCATAATTCTTAATCTCTTCAAGCCTTGACTGTAGGAAGGGAATATACATAGCATCTACTTAGAGGGTTGCTGTAAGC